GCTCGCTGCCGTCGCCACAAGCGTCGCCGGGTTCATGACGAGCGCGGTGTTGACGAGCGGCGCTCACGCCGGGCCACCATCTGCGTGAGAGCGACGCCGACACGACGACGAGCAGCATCGCCGTCAGGCGGCGCTCGTTGTACGCCGGCGCGCGCCGACGCGACGCGCCGCGCCTCGGCGTGCACTCGCTGCGAGCGCGCGGAAGCGCGCCAGCAGCAGGCCGCTGAAGAGCGCCGTCGCGCACACACGGCAGCACGTGCACGAGCGCCGTGCGCGCAAACGTGTAGCCGACGTAGCCGTGGCTGCACGCGAACTCCGTGTGCATGTAGATTGCCGCTGCACATCGCCGCCGCGTCGTCGCTGGCGTTCGCCGGCGGCAGCAGCTGGCGGCTGTCGTCTCGCTGTCCGGGTACGTGCAGATGAAGTTGAAGGGCACGTGGGAAGACGACGGCGACGCAGCGTCAGCCACGCCGACGACGGCCGCCGCCGACCGGCGCCGACACCAGAGCTTGGCGCGGAACGGAAGCGCGTGAACACGTAGCGCTCGACGGTGACGGCCGTCACGGTCCAGATGCTGAGCCGCGAGCGCGTTATTCAGCATCATTCATCACGCGGCACTCGTACGTCACCTGCACGCGCGTCGGCAGGGCTTCACCCGCGCGTGCAGCGCAGCACGTGTTGAGCAGCATCGGCGCGGTCGGTGGCGAGAAGAGCCTGTCAGGCGGCCAGCGCCAGCAGGTAGATGTAGGAGGAGCGCGCCGTGAGCTTCGACGCGACGAGCACGACCATCGTCAGGCAGTTGCCGACGAAGCGAGCGTGGCGAAGATGAACACGTCGAGTAGATGCCCACGGACTCTCGCCTGCCCGAGATCCAAGCCTCGCCATCGCCAGCGGCAGCGGCAGCGACACCTGCCGTTCACCAGCGTCGACGCCAGCCTCACACGAGAGGGCGTCGCGAGCGAAAATGTCGTCAGCAAAGACGCTCACGCAGCCGCGTCTCGGGAGAAGAGAGAGAGAGAGAGAGAGAGAAGAGAGAGACGGAAGAGAGTGAGAGAGAGAGAGGAAGAGAGTGAGAGTGAGAGTGAGAGTGAGAGCAGAGAGAGAGAGAGAGAGGAGAGAGGAGTGAGAGAGAGAGAGAGAGAGAGAGAGAGAGAGAGAGAGGAAGAGAGTGAGAGAGAGTTGGCCGCTAATACGCGCGATCTCGCAGTCGCTTGGCAGCTAATCCTTAGCGCTCAGCTGGAATCGCTGCGCATAGCTTCACACGTACCGTCTCGTACGTACGCACGTACACACGTGTCACCGACTCGTGTTTGATAATAGCTGCTTGATTGCTGGTGTGTGTGCGCCGTCGATCAAAGTAAGCTAACTGCGCTGATCATGTCACCTTGCTGCGAGTTGCCGCGTCTGCATTGACAAGTCGATGCGGAAAAAGTGGCCTGTACAGCAAACACGCCACACCGCCGACTCTATTCGTGTCTGTTGGCGTAAAATAGGAGGAGAGCTAAGGGACGTAGGGTTACCAGCCGTGTATTAGCTAATTAAGTAGCAGTTTGGAATCTAGTAGCTGTTTGCTGTTGCTTTATATAGACTCGAGGCGTTAGTCACAGTCAAGTGCTCGCCTGACCATGTACATTCTCAAGAAGGTGTGTGACCCGATTATTTCATTAATATACAAAATTAGCCGTGAGGCAGTATTGCCTACTTTACCTACTTCTGACTGCTGTCGCAGCACTGCCGAATATCGTCGCTTATTGGCTGTGTCGACCCTTGACAGCTGTCACTTGTCATTCGTAGCAACCTCGGCATGACTGCGCTGCAATCAGGTCGTCGAGAGCTGCGGCCATCTTGAATGTATGCACTGCACCATCACGTCGTATACAACTATTTATTGCCATAAATAAGTGACAGCGCGGGATGAATCTAATTTCCCATCCATATGGCAGATTTACGTAAATGTTTCGCTACGTTTATTGCGAGGAAATCATGTTATACGTCATTGTTCGTCGCATCTATTGATATTAAAATTTAAATCATTCGTACATACACACAGCTGCTGTTAAATATAAGAACACGTAGTGCATACGATGAACACGTGCCTTGTCAATAACAATCACACTAACCCAATGGCAGTGATGTCCGTGTGTCAGTACAGCATATATGTCGTGTTCTTACTCTGACTGCACATATACGTGTGTCAGTGCAGCACAGATGTCATGTTCTTGCTCTGACTGGCCATGTACGTGTGTCAGTGCAACACAGGTGACATGTTCTGACTCTGACTATTCCTGTGCGTGTGTCAGTGCAACATAGATGGATTGTTCTTACTTTCACTGCCCATGTCCGTGTGTCAGTGCTTTGTCAGAAACAAAGCCTAGTCTTAACATTGACTTTTTCTCGTAGAACGGACCTGTATACACTACGTATGAGAAATGAAGTAACGTGACTTTTTCGTCGACGGAGAAAAATGTAATGTTAAGACTAATGTTCCGACCACTTGTGTTTCCCACAACGGCTCTATGGTTCACACAGTCTAGAGTGCGTTTTGTTAGATGGTAACAGCTCGCTCTAGGGCTCTCCCGTCGCTCCTGCCCTCCCCGCGTGCCACCGGGCCCGACACCTGCGTCGTCGCCGTCGTCGGCAGCCGTTGCGTCAGCTCCCTGGTCGTCGGCTGTGAGCCGCCGTCGCACAGCGGCGACGTGCGCGCTCTGGGCGGGCAGCCGCACAGCGCGGCGGCCTCGCGCACGAAGTTGCGGTTCAGCAGGCAGTAGACGAAGAAGTTGAGGCAGGCGCGCGTCGTGTCGGTCGCGTTCTCGACGAGCACGAGCACGCCGTACGTCGTCGACGCGTAGAAGGCCGGGTCGCCGCCGCCGAACAGCGTCAGCGCGCTCACGTCGGCCGTCAGCGCCGCCGTCACGTCGAGCAGCAGCGACTCGCACGTCGTCGCCACCAGCGTCAGCGTCAGCCGCCTGTCGCCCTGCTGTGCGGCGACGTTGCCGCTGCGTCGGCGGCTGGCGCGCAACGAGCGCACGAGCAGGAAGTTGAAGACGACGATGACGAACCAGGGGAGCAGCTGGACGAGCGCGACTCGCGCCCACTGGTAGGCGACGTATGCGGGCGTCGCGCGCACCGCCGCGTAGTCGACGCGGTTGCACGCCGGCGCGGCGACGACGACGACCTCGCGCACGAAGAAGTAGGGCACGTGCAGCAGCAGACAGATGGCGCTCTCGGCGGCGAGCACGCGGCAGGCGACGCGCGGTCGGCAGTAGCGCATCGAGGCGGCGACGTAATGCGTGAAGGTGAACCGCTCGACGGTCATCGTCGCCATGATCCAGATGCCGAGCGCCGTGCATGCGTTGCCGAGCGGGTAGAACAGGTACGCCTCGAAGACGGCCTGCGCTCGCGTCTGACAACCGTCGCCGCTGCCTCCATCAGCAGCAGCTTGGGCGCGCAGGGCGGCGACGGGCAGTATGAAGACGAGTACGAGCAGGTCGGAGGTGGCAAGCGCCGACATGTAGGTGTAGGGCGAGCAGCGGCGCAGGTTGGCGCGCGACACGAGCACGAGCAGCGTGAACGCGTTGCAGACGATGCCGAGCGAGCACAGCGCCGCGATGGCGACGTAGACGACGCGCTGCGCCGCGCGTAACCCGTCGTCGGTGTCGGCAGCCATCATGCAGAGAGCAGGTCGTCGCTCACGCCGACTACTCACGGACAGCGGAGACTGTCGCCGTGAAGCTGTGTCAGTGACAGGTCGGTGGACAGGTCACGTCGCGTGCTCTGAACAGGTGGCGTCTGCTTCGTGCACCCTGTGTGGTCTGTTCGACAGGTCTAATGGAAAAAATGATATTGCTCCGTCCTATATAGTCCTATATAATATGGAGAATATATATGATATCAGTTATTTAATGGTATCTCGTTAACATTACTATACTATAGGTGTACAGTATATGATATTATGTATTAAACGTGCGTAGAACGTTAGCAATTAAAATGTACGAGATTTAGATCAGGAGGCTGTTGTCAGAAACATCGTAAAGTGCTAATGTTAATGCTAAGACTATAATGCAAAGCCTAATTTTGTTTCTGGCGACGGGGCCCCTGGGGTACATAATTAGACTCGTCTTGTGTGCTCCTGCAGCTACAACTCACCGTCGCTTCTCGTCGTCCTGGTTGCTTTCATTTACTCGTCGCTGCAATTGCTATATATAGTTTTCTCTGTCACATGAGATGATAAATAACCCGATTGGCGTGCACGAAAATGACAGCAGTTTGACAGCAGTTGATGATAAAGCATTCCATACTGGCTCTAATTCAAATGTGCGACGACCTGCCTCCATTTCGCTCACGTGATACGCTATGTGGTTTATGTCGCTCGTTCGAGCCACTTGTGCTATATCACATTAACACTCGGAATGCTGATGCTAGTACGATAACACGTAATTAAAAGTGAGATTTGCATATTTCTCTGCTCGGGTAGATGCGCAGAAATCTGCTAGATCGAGAAGCCAGTTACGGAGTCCAAAGAGCATGCAATTCTCGTCGCCCCAGAAGAGCTTGTAAACACGAGTGTTAGTTTGGCAGGTTTAGGCGTGATTGCTTGCTTAGCGACGATGCGATTCGTACGGAAGAATGTTATTGGTGATGCGATAGTAGTGGTTATGGTGGGGATAATGTACGACACACGCGCACGCGCACGCACACACGCACGCATTCACATTTATTTATTTATTCACGTATGTGCTTAGTAAGGTTTCTCGCTTTCACTTATCCTGTTGTACAGGAAAAATTTATATTCCATGTATTCAGGTATATATATGTTTGTCTCTGTCTGTCTCTTCTTCCTCTCTCTGCCTGTTTGTAATTAAATCACACACACTATCTCTTCTTCTATACTAACCCATACCATCGCTCTCTTCCTTCACCACTCTCTTCTTCTACAGCATTTTCCACTGCTCCTACTCTGTATAGCTGCTTTAATCATATCGGTGCACTCTGTGTTGTAGATTTCCTTGCTGTGGCAAGTGTTACCCATGCGACGTGTGTCACGAGGAGAAAGAAGATGGCCACGAGATGAAGTTTGCATCCAGAATGATTTGCGGATACTGCTGCAAGGAGCAGGTACGACAATATATCGTACGCTTCGCAGTACTCGTTGGTCGTACTGCACCGAATTCTGGCAGAGAGTGCCAATGTGTAGCAGTGTGACAATGTGACGTCACATTGATTAATCAAATTGATTACGACTCGTCATCGAATTGTCAAACGCCCTACACACTATGTCACTTATAATTATTTGAGCGTGGTGTTTCGATGGGTGGCGTCATGGAAGTTTCGAGTTTTTGATTAATATGTCTAAATGTGATCAAGACGATGTTTAACCGCGTGGCATTTCCTTTGCAGGCGTATTCGCGTGATAAGCCGTGCGTGGCGTGCAAAGGCGCGGTGACTAAGCACACTGGTATCTACTGGGAGGGAGGCAAAGGCTGCAGAGACAAGGTCAAGATGAGCAGGTCAGATTTTCTTCAGCTTCATCTAATTTAGCAGCATTAGCAGTCTTCCAGACTAATGAATAAACGTTTTCGCTGAGACTCACAGTTGTCCCCTTAATTATGATTCAATGAACTATAATTGGTTAATTCATATAATATTACATAATTCATTAATTAATATTAAGTCGATCATATTCCGGTACACAGAATCGGCTTCTAGCACGGTGTACACGATTTAACAAGATGTTAATCAGATCGTGGTGGACATGCCTGGTCACACTAAAATAATTGTGCATGCATGTTCAGCAAAGATCCGAGTGAAAAGGTCTGCGTAATTTCACGATTGTTTCGAATTAACAAACAGCAAGCACACATATTAATCAGTGCTTACAGGAAATACGTAAATATGATTCTTGTTACTATGAGGATTCTTTAAGGGTAAACGTAGTAATATTGTCGTGAAATGGAATTTATTTGCATTTCGTTACATGTGCATTGTTATACTGTTGTAGAAATGATGCCCAAAAGTTTAGTGATACCAACAAGACCATCTCCAGAAAACAGCAGGAATTAAGCAAGAAAAAATCTGGCAAGAAATAGATGGAAGGACAGGACTAACCACTAGAATGGTCTTTCGGTTTAAGTTCAAAACAGATAAATAAGATAACAATAGTGTATGTGTGTATAATGGCAGCAACTTGAAGTAACTAACTACTGCAGTGAAGTTAGTGTGTTAATCACTGTTTTCACTGTGAATGATTACACTTTGTACCAGTACTGTATTTCATGTGTTTGGATGTTGGTTTATATATAGTTAAAGATAGATTGATATACATATCAGAATTTCTAGGGTGCCACGCAAACTTAATCAGGAAATGCAAAGTAAAACAGGGAGTGTTCCAATCACGCTAAACTTTATTTAATATGCTCAAATGATCAGATACAATGTGTGGGCTGGAAGTGGTTGATTAAGAAATTAAGAGGGATTGACTATTTGTACATTAACATGAGCGATCATTATTGCTACCTTAAAAATACATTAATTAAATGACTAAACCATGGATTATGGATACCTATAATAGATATATAATATATAAACAAAAATGCAATTAAATAGAGATATTCACAAGGTTTTATTTACTGTGACCATTCTATTAGAACAAGTGAAAGAAATGTCAATAGAACGGGTATGCATAGCATGGCGAAGGTAAGCTGCAAAACAATCATCAAGATACTGAGATTCCATAACTACAGCTTTAACATCAAGTATTCAACACTGAAATTAAATTGTCAAGACACTTTGGAAATGGGATTGGACATGCTCTCACATGAGCACATCCGTTAACAATGGTCAGGCTATAGGATGATATGCGAATAACATGCACGCATGACACATTGTCCAGGCCCGAAAAAACAACCACAGCGTTAATAAGATTCTTGTATAGCTATGACGAATGCTAATGAGATAGAGAGGGAGAGACAGCAGTATTAGACAACAAGTAAGCTAATACGTTATCAGAAATAGAATTTCACATCTCAGACTAATGCCTGTCTGCAACAACAACAATATGGATTGGACAGTGTGCTACTGCATAAGAGACGAGAGATAGGTACAATCAAGAGTCCATAATAGAGACGAGTAAGACACTGTTTTACAGCGTTTTGCGTAGGTTTCAACTTGAATTTATTCTATCAATATGTGAATAAATATATTCAAACTACCTTGTTTTATTCTCTGATTCTCCCTTAGTCATATGACCCCACCAGTTTACCTGAAAATCGTAACTGTTCTTCAAAAAAGTTCTTTGAATACGACACGGTGTCACACACTTTTCCTAATTGTTTGCATGACATGGATGAAAGTTTATAGTGGCGGAAGCACCAGATTTGTTACTACTGGACGCTGGGGGCTGTTGGGGATATTAGGTAAGCACAGTAACAGCACTTGTTTCGCTTCTTGCTGTGCGAGATAAGCGCCAAACCATGCCACAATTCGATGCCTAACAGCCCCCAGCGTCCCGTAGTAACAAATCTGGTGCTGCCGCCACTATAAACTTTCATCCATGTCATGCAAACAATTAGGAAAATTGTGTGAAACCGTGTCGTATTCAAAGAACTTTTTTGAAGAACACATGCGATTTTCAGGTAAACTGGTGGGGTCATATGACTAAGGGAGAATCAGAGAACAAAACAAAGTAAAGTTTGAATTTTATTCACATATTGATAGAATAAATTCAAGTTGAAAACTACGCAAAATGCTGTAAGACAGTGTCATACTCTTCTCTATTATGGACTCTTGGTACAATATAAGTGACAGTATTTTAAGCTGCACGTGATGTAGGCCTAACTAGTAGTCTAACTGGCAAAGAGTACAGCAGTGATAAGACCGAAACTAATATGTCGTCATCGATTCCATAAAGCAGTGTACGCGCGGTAACATGCCCTTCACACTGATCAATGCGGACATTGGCTTATGTCACCAATATTAACATGATCGTAGGTGAACGCCATAGATGCCCTAACCGAGCATGACAACCATTTCTGTAACTTGCTTATCCATGATGGGCTTGGTAGGGCTTCCACGCGGACAAAGTAAATACTCCTGACTGAGTAAAAACCTGGTACCCGTCGTCAGAAACATCACGAATGGTGACGACTATAAGATAAGTCTAAAATACAATAACTTTTGCAGGACACTTCACTTCAATATTCATGACGTTTCATAGTTAACTAGACAGAGGGCACTCACGGAGAGTGCATACCTCCGCGAGCATGTAACATGTATGTGCTCGCTGGTGGCGGCTGCTGACTGACTCGCCTGCTGCTAACTCGCCGCTCACTGGTGGCTGCTGCTGACTCGCCACTCACTGACTCGACGCGCTATCGATCGCGCGGTGGCTACACACACACACGAGACCGATTACATGACCTCCGTTGCGCGGCGGTATAGACAATCATGTCATAACTACTTACAATTCTGACAACGGATCCCTAGGGCAGCAGTTTATATTGGGCATTGCCTAGCAGCAGCAGCAGCAGTGTGACATTAGTGCAGTGCCAGATACAGCTAACATGCTCACCGTCATTTCATTATCCATGTACCATCATATCAGCGCCCTACCTCAAAGAGCGACAGTCGAAAAAACTCCAATTGTCCATCGATTTGCATTTATTCCAACATGCCAAATAGGCAAACAATAAGTTAATGAGATTGGGCCGAGTGTGCAAAACTAGGCGATTCCACAGCGGGGTGTTCTCTAGGTAAACATTCGGTGCAGTGACTAGCAGTTTTGTCGTGCAGCACTCCAACACTTTGTATCATTTCATTTTACACGGAACAGGTAATTGAAAACGGGGTCGTAGCACGTTCTGCACGTGACACACGACACTGCAGCTCTCCGCTTCACATATGACAGCGATAGCCTTCATATCTCTCATCTGTCCGTTACCGTGAACTATTGGCACACAAATTTGCTACCGAATGTCGTGAACAGCTCAACTGTATCACATTCTACAGAGTAAATCCATGCAAACCACTTGGGGACGGTAACAAGGGATAGGACAGGAACCCTAACCCTTCCCCCACGCCCTCACTCCCCATCCTATCCAGGGAGTAATCACATTCAACACACTCAACGGCTTTACTTCGTAACAGCCAGCTTTATATATATTTCATTGCTAATAATGCCTTTAATATCTTACACGGGTTTCTTGACACACTATCATGAAGGAAAACCACATAAATACATACAACTGATATGTAGTTATCGCTCACACACATCCGAGACTCATTACCACTCACATATCACGCGTCAAAATAACTACATGCACGTTTAAATAACGGCCTCCCTGTTGTTGGCTTCTTCAATCCACAGAAAAAAGCACATATTGTGATTGAAGTAAAATAGAATAAACCATGCGACTATCAAAAAAAGGTAAAATTGTAAAGTTCTTTAAGGACAGTAAAGTTCCTTATATTGATGGGTACGTGTAAATATGTGATTATGCTAGAAGCAAACATCTCTCACATGCGCACATTCATCGTAAGATTTGACTGTGCCATGCCACATCTCTACCAGAACCAGGTTTCAAGAGTACAATATAATCGGAATGTCGAGTGGCTCTACTTCCTGTATGCCACCCACAACCAGTTGTTCCCGATAACGAAAAGCGTCAAATCGGTGTTTATTAATTTACAAATAAACGGTTAACTTCATAAACCATGTTATTTGATGATTGCTTTGATATTTCGTTTAATGACGTCTATATAATCCGTCATCATGGAAATGCCTAACATCCAGATAACAATTAGTAACAGTGACATTAATTTTTAAGTAGAATAAAGGGAGGGCATGTAGCAACTGAAGCTAGATCTGTTACCCTGGCGCTCCTCTTCTCGCTCCGTCACTCAACCCTTCGTGTCCATGGCTTCAGTTCCACCATCCTTCTTGTCCTTTTTGCCATCTCCTGCAACGCGGGAAAACTCGATGTTTAAATCAAGGCAAAAACAAAAATCACAGCGACACCCACGTTTAGTCACACTGGGTCTTTCCCTTTAATCTTCAGCTACAGTCCGCTGGGGATGCATCGCGACTATGGTCTCTGCCCATTCCGTGACAGTAAACCAGGATGTTTGCACACAACCCGCAGTGACCGCCTAGCTTTACAGGGCGATTCTCAAGTTTCTACTTGCTGTATATCATCACTGGTAAAAACTGTGATAAAACGTAAAGTGTGGTAAAACGGTGAGCAGCAGTATATTCAAAGTGCATTACATAGTGTGGCTAGTGCGGATAACACCTCTCGGATACTACTGCGCGGTTGGTTTCCACACCCTCACTTCTACGCGCTCGCGTGTCTGTGCGGGGATGGTCGCGTCCGGTGCAGCAGCAGCAGAGGATACGCCACTGTCATACTGACCCATGTCTCCCGGCGTCGATTCGCTGCCGTCCCGCCGTCGCTTGCGCGGGTTGGCGCTCTTGTTTGGGAAGCGCGGGGTGGGCAGGGGATCCATGCCCAACAGTTTCGAGATCTGTCGGAACGCCATCAGCCGGAGAGCGTGCTGCAAAACGAGTTACGAGAGTTTGGTTGCCATGCATTCGCGCGGTGGTGAGAATGCCGTTCAGAAAGGTGCGGCCACCGTCGCTATCGCTCGACCCCCCTCCAAAGCGAATGCGGCCAATGGCTCCAACGAATGCTGTAACAGGTTCCCCAAGAGCAACTCAACATGCTTTACGTATCTTGAAATGCACACCTGCGCGCTCGTAGTGATCTCCTCCCGCTCTTGGTTCGTCAACGAGCCTGCTGCATCGACGGGGTCCTTCTCACACGGATCGACAAGGCCCGGACCGCCTGTTTAAATGAAAGTGTCAATGACACTGTAGCTCACATTGGGTGTGATAGAAGAGGGAGGGGGGATATATAAAGCAAGAGTATATATGGGAGACGGAGAACTTCCATTATATACTCTTGATAATGATATATGCATAAGTTTTGATGCGAAAATAAATGTTTCAGATCTGAAAGTCTGAAATCTTGACGAGAGATGGCGCTACGCCTAAATGATCGCCATTTTGCTTTTCGAATATCGCGCAAATAAAAACAATAAAATATTCCAGTCAAATTACTGTAACGAAGAATCTAAAACACAATATTACACGTATATAGGTATGATTGTAGAGTTGTTAACCAGTTAGACGAAATAAACATAATAGGACGTTGTCACCTCTCCCATAGGAGTAACAACTGTTTTGGGGCTAGCCTTACACATTCACATACCAAGATTTAACAAAATCGAATGAATTTAGATGGCCATTTTCATTTTTGCCAAAAAGTGGGCATGGCTCGAAAGTAGGTCGACTGGCGTGCTCCAAAATAGGATGTTCAAACCTCTCCCATAGGAGTAACAACTGTATGCAATTTGAAACATGTGGGTCAAACGGTTCTTGAGTTATCGTTGACCATAGACAGACACTGAAATGCATAGTGAAATTGCCAAAATCTACCTAATTTGCATAATTAAAAAAAAATCAAAAACCTGTGTAAGATGTTTTGGGGCCAGTCCTCATTCATTCACATACCAGACATGAGCAAAATCCATTGAACCTGAACTGACTTATGGCCATTTCCATTTTTGCCAAAAAGTGGACGTGGCTCGAATGTAGGTGGACTGGCATGCTCTAAAATAGGACGTTCAAACCTCTCCCATAGGAGTAACGACTATATGCAATTTGAAACATGTGGGTCAAACGGTTCTTAAGTTATTGTTGACCGTAGCCAAATGTTGACAGACAGATGGACGGACAGACGACGGACGACACCCCATGGCAATAGCTCATCTTGACGATGTCAAGGCGAGCTAAAAATGTAATACATGCTCATTCATGCTTTACATCTTGCATAATGAAAACAGAAGAAGTTATTACTTTATACTGTTATATCCAAATACATTTACTATCCGTTAATGTATTTGAATGCTTTAATTTATTCTTACACAATAATGAAGGGTGATGGATGACCTCAATTTTGGATTTGAGGCTGACTATGCTGTTTATATGTGTACATGGAGTAATGGTTTGGTATATTGCCCAAGCACAAACAAGAGGCAATCATCACTGCCGCCTAGCATGGGATTGAATTCTGTTACATACTTTAACCATGGACACAACCAACTGATCTATCCAACATCCCTGCAACATAATATTAAAGAAATGTCCCCTAATGCAATTTCTGAGTGTCAGGCATGAACATCTGCATATACACAAGTGCACGCATGGACGCACACACACACGCACACACATGCATGCACAGGCACAAGCCCACACAAGCTCACACCCACTCATACGCAACTTCACACAGCAAAACAACGCGATGCGGACGATCTCACGGCCTCGCACTCTCACCAGGCAGCAGAATCCCAGAGGCGATCGCTTCGAAGATGCGGCGCAGGGCGTCGCCGGGACTCTGGTTCGGTCCGCCGCTAGCCACGCATTTCTCACACAGCAACTCCATTGCCTGTGAACATGAACACAACCGCTCGTTACTATGACAACAGCATTGTTCCATCGCCTGTGAACACAACCGCTCGTTACTATGACAACAGCATTGTTCCATCGCCTGTGAACACAACCGCTCGTTACTACGACAACAGCATTGTTCCATCGCCTGTGAACACAACCGCTCGTTACTACAACAACAGCATTGTTTCATCGCCTGTGAACACAACCGCTCGTTACTACGACAACAACAGCATTGTTCCATCGCCTGTGAACACAACCGCTCATTACTACAACAACAGCATTGCCCCCAACCAAACGTTACCGCAACAGTGTTGTCGCAACTACTTGTTACAATGTGAACCACACTGTCACAGCCACTCGTTACAGCAACTGCATTGCTGCTATCCTAAGATTGTTTGTGGAGAGTGGGGCACAACTTCCAGCACATCGCCCCGTCCGCTATGCCCAGAATAAACTCTCTCATTAACATTGCTTCTGAGCATAGCAGGGTCAAAGGTCGGTCGTGCACTCACCCAGGTTCTTAGCCGCGACCAGGCAGGCACACGCTGGCACAGGTCGTACATGATGCGAATGACGATGACGCACGACTGCAGTCCGCTCGCCCTAGCCTGAAATAAGCGCAGACGTCCACGACGTTACCTAACAACCTCGCGCCCTCTACAACACACGCAGCGCAGCGGCAACAGCAAGGCATAATTTTTCCCATAATAATAATAATAATAATAATCGGTAACGAGCTAACAACATAGTAGAGATTCGTGTCGGCAGCCGATCGCCAGCGTGCCATGGCTTCGCGAATCGTTTACAGTGCTGTTGCTCTACGCTGGCTGGTTTTAACTGATATCGTGACTATGCTGTGTGCAATACAGGATGCCATCGATAACTTGCGAAATCAAAGATCATGCGAGAAGCAAATCGCTGCCATATAGCAGGTGCATGCAAGCTATAATATATCACTGTAACCTACAAATGCAAGGGTGGTAGAATAAACTGTAGCAAATTGTGAGTATGGTTTAGGTTTTCACACGAGATAGCCACACCCAGACGTAGGCCGCAGTTATACGGCTCGTCGCAGTGATGATAAATGACCTTGAGCACCTTCCCATTTTAGGCTGTGTGACAACATGCTGCTTGAACACCCATGTTACGGTGTTATTGTGTGTACTGTCGCTGAAACGGTCTTCTTGAGTTTGCGTTTTTGTTTGGATAGTTCAGCAATATCGTCTCAGAGAGCCTAATGATGTATGTGGCACCCGTGCTAAAATCCATTGGGTTATTTTGTACTTACATACAAGTGCTACAGGCAGCTAGGTTAACCTTACAGCCTCGTGACAATGAATGTTCAAAATCAGAACTATTCGTAAAGCAATTGCTTTCTTGTGTAGTTTTAAATAAAACAACGTTAACAATGCATCCTACCATTACATGAAAAAATTATGGCAAAATTGAACCATGCAGGGTAGGAGGCAATAGTCCCATTTTAATATCGAATATTGATGTAGTTTCCACTAGGGCCCTATGAAAACACTACTGCCTTTACAGTATTTTGCCATCTTGGATTCAAAAAGTCCAAAACCAAGGAGAAGAAAAAATGTAGGCTTCTTGCAGCCATAGTGTTATTAATTAGATAGTTACTCCACATACTAGTGTCTATTTCAGACAATTTAGATCTGGTCATAGCATGTACACATATATCTAGAGAGGAAGATATAGAAACGGGGAAATTTTTTATATATATATTATATATCTTACTCAAAGCATTTCAAACATGCTATATATATGCTACTCTGATGTGCACATGTATGAGTAAGGAAGCGGACCTAGAGAGATATCACAACCAGTCCATGTATCGGTATGTCAAAAGGAGATTCGCAAAGCACCTGCGCGTGTGTAACACACAACCCAATACAGAACACAAGGCTGCAAAGTATAAATAGTGGAAATGTCCAAACCTGGAACCACTTAGCGTGGCGCAGCGAGGCGAGAGCTTCAAGGCATTTCTGCCTGTCCAGCACGTCCTGATGCTCTTGTTTCACTGGCTCTACAATGTCGAATGGGTGTTTGACCATGAGCGTAGATAGAACAGCGAGCAGGCAGGCAGCCTCATCAGGATGGGGCAGGAAGGGCAGGGAGGAGCTCACGTGCGCGTTTAAATCCTACACACTTCACACATGGCGGCGGTTACGAACACGGTGGTGTGTGTGTGGAAGGGAGGGGGGGCAACGAAATAGCAACTGCGGGAGTTTACATTTTTTTAATGAGAAGCGGAGGAGAAGTGCGCGTATATCGCATCATTCATCGCGTGCGAGTCGCCTGCTGTCCTGCAGCCAAAATGAATCGTCGTTGCTTGTTTCTTGTCAGTTAAGCATTTTGAAAATCTGCGCAGATATCGCCGAGCAGCCATTTATCGAGAACAGTCTCAGAGTACTCGAAATCAGACCCTCCCACCCATGTCCTCACTAGCGGTAATGTTGCACAGCCATACTACAACGCCACACCTGTACAGTCCCTTGCCAAAACAAGCCCACCACAGTGACACAAACTCCTACAATTCTACTCCCTAATAAGAAACACTTGAATAGCTTAGTACTTGTCTCAACAAAACACACCTTTCGGTTATCGGAAATCTTCTCTTTTAGTTTTAAAGCACCGAGAGCATTATATATATATATATATATATATATATTGTAGAGGGGTTAAAAATGCAACTGCAAAAAACAAGCAGGAGTTCAATATGCGGTGAGAGACTCGTGGGGAGCAATTTGCTAGAGGGAGGTGGAGAGGGATGATGCTGTTTCCCCGGAGCCGGCCTGCTCTCGCATGGTCAAAAATCCATCTTGTCACACAACCCCGAGATACTACAAACCCAAATGCTAGATAAACAGACAGAAACATGGTTAAGTGAGAATCAGTGCAATGGAATATGATGTGGGCTATTCCTAGCACGGCATGGGGATCGCTCGCTCGCACTTCTCCCCACTTCATTGTGCCCCACACAACATGTGCGCAGTCACAGTGCCAACAGCAGTGACTATGTTCCAACACAGAAGCCGAAGAGCAACAGTTAGCAGGCAGTGCGCAAAGCCACTATAACATCTGTCTCGTTGTTTCCCCCACGCTCAAAAATTATTTCCCCACCATCTTGACATTATTGACCAGATTAAAGAAGTACCCTACCATGAATGCGCAATTGTGCATACTGTTGTCTCGACGGCTGTCGTAGATATTGGAGCATCTTCATATTGCAATGTGCTGGGAGGAGCGCAAGTCAAGATGAATCACCTGCAAGCAGCGAGTGCTGTCACGCGTTCCTCCCAGCACTGCTTGCGCTAAGCCTAGTGAGCTGTTAGACCCGTGCAAACCGCACCTGCGTCCTGCAGTGCCGTGCCTGCCATCACACCCACGATTGTTCTGAGTGACTCGGGCAAGCAATGCTGGCGCTAGGAGGCTTTCCCAAGCCCCGCAGCGACGCAAGAGGAGGAAGCTGCGAGCGATCACCATGGAAACCAGGCGGTGACAAAAGGCGAGATCTCACGTTTTCGGTGGTTGCCGATTGGAATCGTATACATGTCAGTAGCATTGGGCCCCGTTCTCATTTTGCGATCTCAACAACTGCAGTGAACCGATTATAGTTTTTTTTTATAATCCATGTCATCCCTATGGATGCCAAAAACACGTGCGCACAGTGAGCTTGTGTGCAAGTGTCTTGTTTAAAAATATGAAGCAATCGGCCAACAGCCAGGGGGCAGGGCGTGCTGGAGCATGCCTTTCCCCACTACAAGGCTGATTACATCGGTTCCGGTCCGCGTACTGACAAATGTATCGCCCCACGGTTCGCTCGAGACCGAGAGGAAGCTGTGGAGGGTGGGAGGGTGCTGGGAGGTGGGGAGTCGTTGCGCTGACCGTCAGCTGCACTCACCACCGCCTCCGGCACCCGCGACGACGGCCGTGCTCTCGCTGCTGTCCCGCATCACCTGTGACGTGAGCGTGACGACGACGCACGCCTCCAGACCGTCGGTCGTCGACACGATCGTGAAGCCAGCGTCGGCGAGGCAACGCTTCACCTCGTACTTCTCCTCCGTGACGGCCTGCGCGCAATCAAGATGGCGTTACGCGCAGTGCAATCAAGACAGCATTGTGTGCGGTGCAATCAAGACAGTATCACGCCAGGAGTGTATAATATAGATATCATCTCTAACAATATAATAATATATGTAGAATCTATATTTTACACTTCTGGTTACGTGCCGGGCAATCAACACGACATTAGGAATAATGTAATCAACACGGCGTTACCACTAGTCCCAATTACTGCAGCATTACAGGCAGTGCAATCACTTGCAATCGACACAGCATTGCGATCAGCACAAACCATGCAAACACAGCGCTACAAGCTGTGAGCGATGCAGCACTGCTCCTTGAGCATGTTGATCTAACGGGTATGGAACCAAGGAGGACCCCATCTGCAGTTGTGCTGTAACAGTTCTTAATCATTTATGTATTATAATTATATTATGTGTATCATTTAATGTATATATAGTTTTCCGTAATATTGCAATTGAGGGTTGTGCGGGTGCCAACGTTGAACTGTTATATGGTTTATTAAACTTTTCATTATCTGATGTTAATAAACATTTCCGTCTACAGTGTATGCGTGCGTGCCTCACTAGCCCTATAACTTCAACTCGTGACACTTCGACTACACGCCAGCACAATGAAATAGTTTGATCAGCTTTTCGATGAATGACAATCACGCCAATTACGCACACAAAGAGATCTGTCTGCGATGATAATTAATCGCTTAGAAAACAATGATTAGTATATACGTACAGCAAGCTGCTTTGGCAGGATTTCAACGATGCGATCGAGAAGGTTGCGCGTGGGCTTGTCCCTACACAGCAGTACTAGCTCGACACGCAGACTACCATGCAGCAGCAGTCCCTTGGCGAGAATGCCCACTCTCATGACTCCCTTTAGCGCCCGTTCCTTCTTCTCCGCACTGAGAAAGAAGATCAGCAGTTCTAATACGCCAATATGCATGCTCCACTCAATATTACACGTTGCTAAAACAAAACGTTGGCAGACGGCTATTGGAGTTTGTACATAGAAACAGTAAGAAGGTTCCCTCGCTTTACATCATTGTTATGCTAATTGACACTATCTCATGGTATGTTTACCATTCTATAGTTTGTACTGATATTCACACAAAGTGAAAAAAATTCTTAAACCTTTGCTAAAATTTTGTAATGCCATTAATGGGTTCATAAGTACTGGGCCCCAGATCTAAGGATGCATTTTTACAGAGATGTGTTAAATTGAAAATGCAATGTTAGCATAATTAGGACTTATTTGTGCAATTTAACAACCAAATGGAATTATGTACCCTTGACGCTGCTCGTTATTGGTTTTGTCTGCTTTTACATCATCGTCTTTTTTAACCTCTTTGTCATCATCCAGCTTTGGACCCTCGCTGAAAAACAATGTCTCACATTTGTATACACATTACACGTACACATAACGAACGCAGGAAACTTTTTATGAGAAGCTTTTTTTAACATAGGCTTTATATGAAAATTTAATTCAGCCAATCACAATTGTTTGCTTAAAAAACCACTCGCGCGCATCACTCTCGCATTGACGTGTCTCTCCTGACTGACCGCAGCCGACCACTTTCTCTGCCGATAATGCTTTTTACGCGTGGATCAATAATCGCCGGCGACGGCGGTCGCTTACGTTTCGGTGATGATGTCCGACACGAGCTTGAGAGCTTTCTCGCTTGCCGACACGATGGACTGCACGGCCTGCAGCTCCTGCTCGTTCGGGTAGATCATCGAGTGCTTGGCCATCACGTGGCGGTCGTCGTAGCTCTGCGGACGCCGTGGCTGCGCGCACGGAGAGAGGCAATCGCACACGGTTAGCTCGCTAGCCAGTGAGCAATCAGATTTCGCTTATGACTGCCGACGAGTAAAGCGATCGTGTTGGGTGAAGCCCAACTGCATGTTCGGCTAGAGACATGTAGGGGGAATTTCTACACGAAGGAGTCGAAGGCGGTGTAATGAACCCGCTGGTGTTTACGGAGGAGTTAGCGGGGACTGTTAAGACTGTTTCACTGTTAGACTGTTTCACTGCATAATTGCCATTAATGGGAAAAGCCAAAACTGTCCTTCATAGACTGGCGTCTGTTATATACCATTCTCAGCTAATGGCCCTGTCACACCTTGACGATTTAGCCAGCGTATGCCAGACGTATCAAAAATTTGGTGAAGCTGAATATAAGTTACACATACGTTCAAAGCACGTTACTCATAAGTCGAAATACGTCAAGATAATGTCTAGCGTACCAAAAACTCATTTCTAACTTATGAGTAACGTGCTTTGAACGTATGTGTAACTTATCTCCAACGCATATTGACGTATGTAGACGTATTTGACGTGTTCCGGACGACCACAGAACTTACTGAACGTGTTTCTAACTTAGAGCTACCGTATAATGGCGTATTGGCAGCGTTTAGGGGAATTGGTATATAAAACTGGTACTGGCATGTTGATAGTGCGACGGTGATGTTGATACTGCGATGTCTAGTGCGGTTATGATTTGAATCGCCGAGCGGGACCCTTTTTATAGGCTACGACACGTGATCGTCGGCGATACGCTGCCGCGCGCTATGCATATTAAGTTAGACTATCGTTGGGCATAAGTTGTGAACGCCGGCAACACGCTAAGCATTCGTTGGTATAAGTTATCTATAAGTTATCGAAACGTTCTATATAAGTTACTAATACGTTATGCATACGTCCAACTCGTTATGAATACGCTATGTATATGCCCAAAATTGAAAAAAACATCGATAGTTCAGCGTATGCCAGCGTTTTAGAGAAATTTTGATACGTCGGCATACGCTGGCTAAATCGTCAAGATGTGACAGGGCCATAACACAAGTTTCATTGTAGTGACGGGTCCTGGTGAGATGCAATGTCAGTGTTGGATAAAAAAACGCAAGAAACGGGAGGAAAATAAATGGGGTGCAGTGAGCATTTGGATGAGGAAAATATGGGAAGGGACTCCTGCAACGTAGCTCTTACCGGGGCGGGATGTATGAATGCGGGACGCGGCAGGCCACCGGGAGCATCGGGCTGTCGGAACCACAGGCGGTTCTCCATCTCCTCAAACCTGCGCCGCTCTTCAAATCTGCAGAAGAAAGGTGACCGACGACATGAAAAGACAAGACATGACTTGATCACGAATGCAATACAATGCAATGCTAGTCAATCGGCAGCACGAATTAACTACCAACAGATACATGCTGCTTTCCTGCCCGAGTTCTGAGCACCACCTCATACTCAAACAAATAAGCATGCATGTATTATCTTAGAAACTTCGTGTAGGTTCAAGTCTCTAATATCCAAACAAAACAGGACCTATCGGTAGTCGGACGAAGCGGAAACGTAGTTGGGGTGAAACACATCACAGATTAAATGGAAGAGCGGAATAAGTATGAAATATGGTTTATTAATAAGCATTATACAGTATAACTAAAACTATATGGTAAAGAACTAATGTTGGTTATTAGGTAGTCATTAATTATATAAATAAATGAAACATCATTACAGTACAAACATAAATCACTACTGAGGACAAGCAAATAAAGTCACGTCAATTACAGTATGTGACACATTGACAGATAATGCAGCATGGGAAACATGGGCAACGTGGTATGCATGTGCCCACAGTACAGCACTGTACAGTAAATACATAGAATGCAGATTAACCATGTCAGATAAAACAGGAATGTTGGATGACCGTAGGTCAGTTAATCGAGACTCTACTGTATACCAAAACCTACTGCTGCCTGTCATTGATTACGAATGTTACATGTATGGCCTAGATTACCTCATCTGTGCATCTCTACGTCGCCAGAATTCCTCCTTCTGTAGCTGCCTCTGGAGTTTCTCTTGTTGCCGCCTCTGCCATAAGCTTGGCTTAATCTCTACCACCAGATCTGGATTCACCTTTTTCTACAAGACAAGCATGCAGAGCAATGCAACACTAAAACCAAACCACTCCTTTGAAATTTACAATGTTAAATCCTGTTAAATAAATAGTGATGTAAAAAACTGTTAAATAATAGTAATGATTATGGAAATGACGATAATGAATAGTGAAGTGACTCAGATACAAAATTGTCATACCTTGTACTGAAGCCTGTGTCTGCGCCCTTTCATGTGCATCTCTTTGGCATTAGGGTCATTGAACCGACATTCACATAGTTTACACGTGAAACTGATGATTTTTCCTTCATCATTTTTAACCTCCTCTATGTACTCCTCTCCTGCAGTTCAAACATAACACAATCCTACTCAATATTGTGAAAACGGGCACCAATACATGACAGTAAATTTAAACTATGAATGAACTATGAAATGGTAAACTATTGAAAGGCATAGGCAAAGCAGCGCACCGACTGGAATGACATCTGCCTCCTTGTCTAGCGTGGCAGGCTCCGCAGCAACCTTGTCTGCCTTGACAGCAGGCACCACAGGCACCACTGAATTTGTCTTCACCTCTGCTGCCTTGGCTACAGTAGTGCTGAGCTTCGCACCACCTATAATCAATATTAACACATTCGGCATATCAGCACGCACCCACTCACGCACACCTGCAAGCAAGCCTTGAGTGGCCATAAAAAATATATATTCTAACAGTAGCAACATGGCACAACATGACTGTCGTCAACTTAACCATACAGCTATTGGTAACTTATCGCCGCTGCCAAAACATGACAAATGTAATAAGATAGACAGATATTCCAGATTTTAATGGACAGAGGAAGAAGGGTTAATCCGTTCCTTGCTATCTGACAGCAGAACCACCACCAAACCGGTGCAACTTACCGACGAATGTGATTTTTGGAACGGCGGTGACTTTGTTTGCGACCGACGCGACGACAGTGCTGTTCTTTGGTGACAAAGAGCTTGGAAGCGTTGTTGTTGATCTGGAAGTTTTTACCATCACCGGCTCTGCACTGGGTATAGGCTTTCCGAGCCGCGTGTGGAGTTTGACAACCTATCACCACGGTAACGCTCCTTCAATATGCATATATCTCACAGCATAATCCTCCTCGAAATGACCAGTTAAAGGAAGGAAGCTATAACATCGAACTTGATCATCTACTGTTTGAGAATAACTGCTCTTTACAAGCTTCTGCATCTAGCAATAGCAAGGCAAAACCCCAGAAAACACTGAGACCATGAATATATATATATATATATATATATATATATATATATATATATATATATATATATATATATATATATATATATATATATATATGTAGGACATTAGAGCTTCATGCTTCCTTCACAATATACCATTATCTGCTAGGACATGATGCAATGGTGACATATTATTAGCACTGATCGATCATCTGTTCGCCACAGACCTTCTGATGTTTGGAGCCCCGGATGTGAGCATTGTACGCATCCTGGCCAGTGCAGGTGACATCACACAGCTCACAACGAAGCGATTTCTGACCACGAGTTGCAGATGTTGCACTGCCCGCTTTCAAAGCTGCCTCTTTCTTCTTGTGCTTCTGCCCTTCTAAATGTTCCTTGTACGTCTACATAAACAACACAAGATTAAGAGACGTAAACACGGTTATCACACACTGTACACATAACACCTATGACATAGACAACACCTTAAGTAGCTGCCAATTTCCGATTATGGAGAAACAAGTACCATTTATAAGTAGTAGTTGAGAACCTGAAAGTAAATTAGGATGAAATAACTTTCTATCTGTGATTTACACTCTCAATTGTAGACTAGATTGAGATTCAAGGTAAAATTGCAATACCTGTGGCCCAGCGCAACTAATTTTGCACACATCGCAATAATGCAATTGCATGGACTTTGGTGGACCCGACTTTCCACCCGTCTTGCTCTTGTTGTTCTGGAAGTTTTTCTTGTACTGCCAGGTGGTGTTCACACCCGTCTTCTTCACCACATGCTGCTGCTGAATTAGAGAGGTCGCCGCACTGTAGACTGCAGCGTCGTATCCTGGGAGAAAACCACAAGCAGATATAAACCTACCACTACTACTTGCCTCATATAAAAAAAATCATTTTTATTTATATTAATAAATTAATTTTAAATTAATTACATTAATTTCATAGCTTGAGAGATTAAGTAATTCATGTTAAAACATAAATCAGGCAATTTTTAATGGTAGCTTCCCTCAAACTTTCCACATAAATTTGTGTAACAAACCACTGTAATTTGTAATGAAAGTGTCAATGACACTGTAGCTCACCACAAAAAAGGACACAAATGAGTGAGTGAGAAGAAGTCAGTTTTAATTGAGCAACCATCGACATACATTATAGAAACGAAGAGTATATATGGGAGAACTCCCATTATATACTCTTGATAATTATATGTGTAATTTTTTAGGTGAAAATAATAAATAATATTATATATAAATTATAAATCATTTATAAACCAATGAATCACAATTTGTGACGGTAGATGGCGCTATACCCGCTTTGGTGTTTCTTAGCATAAATCATTATATCATAATAATAGTATAAATCATAATATGTTCATAGCAAAAATTTTGCATTAAAGATATTGTCAATGAAATCTTGTAAAACTAACCAGACGAGTGTGACACCACAGACTGTTTAATATCTGCAACCATCATTTCAATCGAGTCAATGTAACCACTTTCAGATATCAAGTTTTTAATATAAATTATTTTATGAAATCAAACTTTGTAGTCTAGACAGAGAGGCACCTCGACTTTACCGTAACCGTTTTCGAGATAGAACGTGCTAAAAACCCAACAAATGTAATCCGAACTAACAGCGACCTGACAGAACTCTCGACTCATTCACTCGATAACTCGCTCAGAATACTATAATCTCCCAGCAACAAAAACTTTGCGCTTTCCCTATCAGCTAGCCATGTACGTGACCAGAAAAACCATTGAGTCATAACCTGCCAGTGTTTATAATTTTACATAGCATGGTTCATACATACACAGGGGTAGAAGAAATTAACTTTTGAACAAGGGAGTCCAACGGACACCCTACCCTCAAAAGGAGGTCCGCAGCAAAATGAGAGAGTTTGCAGTCTGAAGTTCAAAACTAAAGCATAACAACAATAACGCATGTGCTTATTTTGAAGATTCGTGCGATGCACGTCTGTCAAATTTCTTTGGACATTTGCTGTAAAAATACGGTAATTCCTCGAGGCCGTGCTCTGGAACGAACTATAGTTAGTATAGCAGAATTTTCAGGGAGTCACACGGACTCCTGCATATGTCAAATCAGGGAGTATTTGACTCCGGACTCGCGTTAATTTCGCACCCTGCATACATAACACGGCAAGTGTGCGAGCAATCGCCGCATAGCGGCAATGGTAAACGTGTTTGAAACATTCGACCCAAACGTTTCACTTTGTAGTCTAAAAGCTTCAAATAAATGAATGTATTTCTGAGCAATTTGTATTCACCTATCACACATATATAGGCAAGTAGAAGCGTGCAATGTTAAAATAATTCATTTTTGCCTGATTTTATGTTTGCCGCTTGAAAGTTCGAGGGAATATCCCTTTAATATCGTTCGACTTTTTATTAACTTGCTTGATGATAGTTCCGCAATATATTTTAATTTTATTCCTACAATTAAGACGGCTTTGCTCACCAGAATAGGTAGTTGTTGGAGGCAGCGTAGTGCTGGCCACGAATGTTGTCGTAGATGGATAGACGTACGTATCAGTCTGAGACATCACAGCAGGAGCAACTCTCGCTCCTACAACAGCAAATGTATAAGACAGATTCGACAGAATCATTTGCAATAGGCAGTACCATCTAGTATAGGTGTAGTATTAAAGAGACAGCAACTGCTAACACAGAAAACGGACTTGTATTAAAACCCAGCCATTCCAACTGACTTACGTTTCCCACTAAAATAAACAACATGACTTTAAACACGGTTACTACTGTCTACACACACCAGAGAAAAAATTAAAATTAATTTTTCGGAGGCTACTTTTCAAGCTCGCGTGCATGAAAATAGCACTCTAAAATTTGGTTTGCATTGAACTCTATGCAAATTTACGGGGGCTCTTTTTGGCATTTCCAGGGCTCTTTTTGGCATTTCAGGGGCTAAATCGCCCCGAGCCCCAGAGTATTTTTTTCACTGACACACACACACATATACCATCACATGGAAGCATGTGCACACAAAAATGCATACACACACACAGACACACACGAGAATAGAACATCTACACACGTATGCAAGTATGGGAAAGATAAAAAGCACGTACTTTGCTGGTAGGCGGTGTCTGCGGACGAGTATGTGACAACCGCAGGAGCAGCTGCCACGGGTTGCACATACGCAGTGGGTGCGCCATAGACGGCAGCCGACGCTTGTGAGGTGTACGCATACGTGTCGCGATACGCCTGCGTCGTCAGCGGCGCTGTGTCCTAATGCAAACAGCAATTCAAATGCATTTAGGCAATTATAGGAATTTGCATTAATGAATTCCCCATTTCACCGCTGAAAGACCCTTATTTCCAATCGATGCTCACAATGCACGTCAATATATTACGCAAAGCAGTAAGGGGAAAATTTCTCCTATATCCGTAGGCAAATTTAAAAGAATTTGCCAGAGCACCAAAGCCCAGGATATAAAACAATATGACATCATTCAATTCTTCGCCAATCGGTACTGTAAAAAAAGTACACCGTCCATCCTTATTATCCTTTCAGGGGTAGAAATAAGGAGAAAAAAAGAGATTTGAAAGAGTTTGAAATTTAGATGGTCCTCCTAAATTGACAATCTGACCAATCACGCACCAGCTTACATCATGCCAAATATTTGCTATGGTCAACACTGGATTAGCAATAATCGATACGTGGAAACTTCAAAGAAAATTACCGTAAATTGAGACCAAAACATTCAATGGTCCGTCGGACCATTGACTTTGAAAATCTGATGGTCCTCCTGATTATTTGATGGCGCTGGACCATCGGACCATCGCTTATTTCGACCCCTGTCCTTTACAAATTACTTGTTTCAGTTTTGATCCAGAAAAATAATCTGTACGATCCCTGCTATCTACCTGTCTGGGTGCAGTTGTGTAGAATGTGCCACCAGCAGGTCCAGGGGCCGCCTGATAGGCTTCATATGCTGGCCGTGCTGCCACAGCAGCCGTTGCAGAGTAGGCTGCCTGCGGAGCCGTGGCATAAGCCACTGCCGCAGTGCCTGCTGGGTATGCTGCTGCTGTGGGCTGCGCACTGCAACACATTATAATGAAAGTACATGAAAACACTACACAGTCATCAACGTCAGTCATAACTTTCTAGACAGGATTATAGTTGCGTAAGTTTGTATTGGCTGCACATTCTGAAGGCATGCTAGACTGAATTGCATAGAACTGCCACATCCTGGCTGGCTATGCGTACTCAGTATGAATGCAACTACCACTAAGTGTAAACCAACCATGCTTATTCATAATGGCTCTTAAAACTCTTCTCTGTACTTCCACGCCATTAATAACCAAATGCACGCTATCGTCAAGTAAGTCTTTGTCTCGTTAAGTATGAAAGCAAATGGACTGCCGTACCCGTAGCCTCGAGACATTAAGATACGGCTGCAGCGCATGCGTGGTGTGACTGCCGTACCCGTAGCCTCGAGACATTAAGATACGGCTGCCGCACCCGTAGCCACTGCCTTTGTTTAAAGATTCAAAGGTTTTTTCGTATGGAAGGGTCAGGCTGCTAGTAGTAGTACTAAGTGAAAAAGTTGTAGAGCCTGGTAAGTCTAAGCATTGACGCCCACAGATAGAAGCACTGGAAGCACAGTGCTTACAGTAAATTTTGGGTTAAACAATTTTGTTCCAACATAATGTTCCTAAATCTCTCTCGCAAGACTCACCAGATTGCATCTCCAGATGTCTACCATTCAAAAATTTTCAGGGGGGGGCATGCCCCCAGACCCCCCTAGCATGCAGCGCGCCCACGGCGCTTGCTTTTTATTATCACTGAGGATTTTATCCTTCTGTGCTTCTAAGCTCTAGTTTCTTAAGACCTGTGGGCGCCAGTGGCGCTATGTATGAGGCATGTTTTTTATTTTGTATAATGTCTTGCTGCATATGGAATGATATGACAAGATTAATTACAACTTGTAAAACAATGCATTTTACTAAGGAACAACAACATTGTCAACAAGTTTTTAGTATTTTAATTTTTACTATTACTTATTATATTAGTATTACTATTACTATTAGTCACAGGCACTTGAAGCGTATCAACTGTAAACACACGCCGCCGCCATTGCGCGTACACTGACACATAAATATATATTTATGTGTCAGTGTACGCGCAATGGCGGCGGCGTGTGTTTACAGTTGATACGCTTCAAGTGCCTGTGTCCCTACTATTACTAGTTAGTTATTGTCATTGAGTACAATTCAACACACTTGGTTAACTGATAGCGTACTCTATTAAACTAATTTGTATTTAATTCATAATTGTAACCACAAAACAGTTTGTGAATAGGATTTATAGGCCCATTTTCTAGTCATACACTGTACTCTGTACTGTAGTCTGTACACAGTACCGGTACTGTAGTCTGTACACAGTACCGGTACTGTAGTCTGTAGACTGTAGTGTAGAGTACGCGGCTACCCGAGTACCGCCTACCGGTCAGTAATAATATTAATAACCTAGACCTGCCCCTTACGTGGTACACATCTAAACACAATTGTTTGTTACACCTTTTTTAGCAGGTTATTGTGTGAAATTTGCAATCACCGACACACTTACCCGTACGCTGAAGCGGCGTGTGTGAATCCGAAGTAATTGTTAGTTGCCATTTTTCATCGCCGTCCTTTCTCCTACACGCAAATTTTGTATTCTTGTAATATTGGCAGTGTTACTAAATTTCCGAATATTACCGAAGATTCTCGAAGATTCGATACCCGAAACTAAAACTGCACGGTCATCATGATAGGCAATAAATAAATAAATTGATGTGCACACATCTTACAATGAACACTTACGAAATTCAGTCTATCTATACCTCGTAAGTTGTGGTTCGATACATGAGCATTAGTTTGTGTTTATCGCATTAAAGATAAGAGAACAGTATATATAAGGCGCTGACGGCATTTAGCCTTTACAAATTACAAGTTTACCGTTTATGTAGACTTCGACCCGATCGTAGCACATAGCATAGCACAAGCACTTGAAGCAGGAGATGGCAGAGCCGAATGTAAATCCTCATCATATCCAGCTAAAGGCTGCAGAAAATCTTATTATACACACAGGGAACATCGCAAGTTGGAGTCGCCTACGAATGACAACAACGTCTCCGGCAGAAGAGGTATTATTACGAACCGTTACGTTAGTAAATTGGAAGGTATTATTTACCCGACCGTCGTGTACCGAGTGATGAAAAATGGCATTGCGTGCACGACCGTCGTGTACCGAGTGATGAAAATCGCATTGCGCACACGACCGTCGGGTACCGAGTGATGGAAATGGCGTTGCGCGCACGACCGTCGGGTACCGAGTGATGAAAGGAGGTGNGGAGGAGGCGGAGAAGGGGAGAGAGTGGTGGAGAGAGAGGGAGAGTGAGGGAGGAGGAGGGGAGGGGGAGAAGTGTGAGAGGGGAGAAGGGAGCAAGCTGGTGGGAAGGAGGAGGGGGAGAAGAAGCGGCAGAAGGGAGGAGGGGCGAAGCTGGGTGGAGAGAGGAGGCAGGGGGGGGGTGAGAGGAGGGGGAGAAGGAGGAAGCGAGGCAGGGGGGGAGAAGCTGGTGAGAGGCAGGAGGAGGCTAGAGGCGAGCGCGCGAGAGGGGGAGGACTGGTGGCGGAAGGAGCGAGGGGAGAAGTGTGTGGAGAGGAGGGGAGAAGTGGTGAGAAGGAGAGGAGACAGAGCTGGAGGAGAGGGCGGAGAAGCTGGTGGAGGAGGAGGAGGAGAAGCTGGTGAAGAGGGAGAGAGCCACCTGCTCCCAGCCTCTCGCTTCTCCACCAACCTTCTCCCTTTTCGCCCCTCCTTCTCCGACCAGCTTCGTCCACGCCCTCTTCTTCTCCACCACCTTCTCCCTTTTCCCCTTCCCTTCTCCACCACGCTTCTCCCCCTCCTGCCTTCGCGCCACCGACTTCTCCCTTCTCCCCCTCCCTCCTTCTCCACCACCTTCTCCCTTCTCCCCCTCTCCTTCTCCACCAGCTTCTCCCGCCTCCTCCTTCTCCACCACCTTCTCCCTTCTTCCCCCTTCTCCTCTCCACCAGCTTCTCCCCCTCCTCCTTCGCACCACCTTCTCCTTTCCTCCCCCTCCTCCCCCTCCTCCACCAGCTTCTCCCCTCCTCCTTCTCCAGCTCTCCCTTCTCCCTCCTCCTCCTCCCACCTCCCTCCTCCTCCACCTCGCGCTTCTCCCCGCTCCTCCTTCTCCACCACTCTGCTCTCTCCACCAGCTTCTCCCCTCCTTCTCCACCAGCTTCTCCCTATCTCGCCCCTCCTCTCCTTCTCCACCAGCTTTCTCCCCCCTGCCCTCCTTCTCCACCACCTTCTCCTTCTCGCCCCTCCTCCTTCTCCACCAGCTTCTCCCCTCTCCTCGCTTCTCCACACCTCGCCTTCTCCCCCTCCTCCTACCTACCCACCAGCTTCTCCCCCTCCTCTTCTCCACCACCTCTCCCTTCTCCCCCTCGCTGCCTCTCATCCACCAGCTTCTCCCCCTCCTTCTCCACCACACCTTCTCCCCTTCTCCCCCTCCTCCTCCTCCACCAGCTTCTCCCCCTCCTCCTTCTCACCAACTTCTCCCTTCTCCCCTCCTCCTCCTCCACCAGCTTCTCCCCCTCCTCGTTCTCCACCACCTTCTCCCTTCTCCCCCTCCTTCTTCTCCACCAGCTTCTCCCTTCTCCCCCTCCTCCTTCTCCACCACCTTCTCCCTACTCCGCCTACTAGTGTGCACAACCTATCGTAACACAAAGACGAGCTGTCATTGGTCGGGTCGGGGAGGGGCGGGGCTATCTCAAATATTTCGCACTCGGCAGATATTTCGCGCGACACCGGTCGTCCGGTCGTCCGTCCGTCCGTCAACAGTTGGGCACAAATCTTAACCGCTCGTACGGTGACGATATTCGGGTCGTTGTGGGGGATCGTCAAAACGAGTTGGGATGTCGAAGCTGGGGGTCAAAGGTCAAAGGTCAAGAGGTGTAAAAGAAGGGGGAACATTCACTCCTTAACTTAAGGTATAGGGAGGAAATGCAGAATTGCGGCACAAATCTAAACGGCTCGACCTAGGCTCGTGATAGTCGGTGTATAGCATATCATGGTAGGAAAAGCCATCACTGTGCCGAAATTGGAGGTCACAGGTCAAAGGTCAATGGAGCACAGGGCAGATTTTAGACATTTTCTGAGGACATGGTCTGACGGAGCAATTGGAAAACTTTTTTGTTTCAGCGGTGACCTATCATTTTTATGGCTTTATTGAAAGGACCATGAAATGTGCTTTCCACTGACGTGCGAAGAGTAAGTGTCTGATAACCTTTTGACCCTCAAGAGGAGGGTTAAACATGGATTTGTTGACTGTTAACAATGGAGTGAACTGATTTTGCTATTAGAGCCTCCTCCCCCCACCCTCCATCTGCGATAGTGGGCGTGTCCTAACAATGATGTGTACGCAACTGCGTGTCTACATATCTGCGCCTAACAAATGTGGTACTACGCACGACTGAAATTTTACGTTTATAATCGTAGCAACAGACCTCAGATGAGCCCAGACGCTCTGCGGCTCTTGTTTAATGTTATTTTTAGTCCAAAATTCTAGGTAGGGTCGCGTAACCGTAAAAAACAATTATTATTTTTTAAATGGCAGTTGATCATGCGGTCTTTGTACTTTTAATGGACCACGCACCCTGTTGACATTGATAGCCATTGCTATCGATATTGCTCCCAAAAATACATTTCCAATCGGCCTGGCCCTCCTACTCCTAGGATCAAAATGTACAAATCTATAAGATGAACGGTTATACTTCTTTTCTTAATCTTAAAACGTTGAACTTCAGGAACTTCATGCTCTGATCAGCTAATGAAGACCTATATTCAGCTGGTACCGCAGCCGGTCTAGCAGTAAAGCAGAAAAGGTCTATGTCCCTAGGGTACTCCACCTTAAAACGCAAACGATTACGTTTCTATAAAGTCTATCTGTTATAGACACATGTCTTAGCTATATGTGAATTTTATGTGAGTTTATTGAAGCACGAGTAGTTTTAATATGCGCAAATATGCGTGCGCGGTATCGCTTATATGCTAATACACGCGCGGCTATGGCCGGTAGGAAAGTGTACTAACTATCATAATCATATGGCGCGAACGATTTGAGTTACATTTCTATAAATTCTAGCTATTATAGACACATGTCTTAGCTATGATCCCTGTGAGCCTTGAGTTTATTGACGCGCGATTAGCTTAACTAATTAGCAAATCTATACGCACGGTATGTAAAATTCTTTGCGAATGCAGCTCGTAATAGTGTATGCGGCGGGGTATGCAAAATGAAATCGATACATCAAGAATTCAATTTTTATCCTCTAATCACAGGTCGATCGAGCAATTCCTCTGTTTAGATGCATGTCTAAATACAAGGTCATTGCTCAATCAAATAGTTAATGAGCCAATTAATTTAATCGTGATACTGCATGGTTATTTCAGTTGGTGTGTACAGTCAGTTTAGTACAGGCATTTGAGAAAAAGTCCCCCTGTACATTTCTAAATGTTTTGCATGGCCTAGGTCAAGTAATAACACAACCGAAATTCGGTATTTTGAAAGAAGCCCCCCAAAGGTACCCTTACACAAGTTTTGAATGTTCTAGGTCAACTAATAACGAAACGTGCCACCTTCGTAACAAAAAATTTATGTTCACCTCTGTGACCTTGAAAAGTATGTCAAATCGAAAACCCGGGTATAATGTCATGTATCCTCATTAGATGTATCTATGATAAAAATTTGGTGATGATCCGGCCAGCGGTTGAGGAGTAATTGCACTTTTTATGTTTTAAGTTTTGGCCCCCTAGTGGCCAAGTGAAGAATCAAATCGGACTGAAATTTGGTGTTTGATTTCGTCTGATCTAGGGGTACATGTGTACAAATAGCCCAGTGGTTACAAAACGTGCCCTGCTAACAGACGACGCCGACGCCAGACAAAACGTGATTGTAAGAGCTCACCAGGAGAGCTAAAAAACAACCATTGCATCAAATCAATTACCAGTTATCATCAAAATGCAAAACACCAAAAGAAAAATGATAAAACAATGTAGTTGTGTATCAATGACTAAGTATTACAAGTTATGCACTATGAAGACTAACTTTCAACACCAACTATGAATGAAAGTACACAGCAGAAAAGAAACAAGACATACATATATATCATGTATACATATGCCACTAGTAAGATGCATACATAATTGATAAAAGGGTACATGAAATATGGAATAGAAAAGCATTAGGTTCTGTTGACTGACAGGCTCCATCGACACAACTTAGGTGACACAGAAGATACACTTGTAGCTGCTGTTGCTCTCAGGATTAACTGTTGGCAAATTGGCACACTTGTTATGCATCCAGCGATTGCAGTTATCACACTGTGTCCATGCTATTCTTTCCCCAGCAGGTTTCCCACAGAACGGGAAGTCGCAGATTATGTCCTCATCATTACATTTGGCGTGGTGCAGTAGCCTTCCTAAAATGTACTTGCGATAAATTTCACAGTGGAACTGCCGCATAACAACAGGTGGAACATCCTTGAGTAAGGCCTCGGCATTCTGCAATGAATATGATGGAAATAAAAGACTCGTGCAGCAATTACATGTACAGTTACAACTATAATAAACTAAATTGACGGAATAATAACAACATACATGTATGTTGGCAAAAATAAATCACAAGAAAATGAAAGCTACAATTACGGACCTTGTGCTCGCCCCAGTGTTAAAAAAGTAAAATTTCCCATGTGAACCCCCTTGGTAAATACTGCAACCCGGAAAATTTTTGTAGGCGTTTCAATTTTGCGGTCATGTCGGGTCCGCAAAGTTAAAACGCGCAAATATTACGATCACTTAATGATCCAACTACAGCTAGTTGGTGAATCGTCCCGCAAAATATAAACGCGTTAAATGCAATATGGGACGGAAATAATGGGTGATCGGCAAACTAAAGCAGCTGCAAAAAATTTCTTAGTTACAGTATATCAGAGAACACACCATTAATGGTCTATTACAGGCCCGTAGCCAGGGGGGGTTCGGGGGTTCGAACGAACCCCCCACCACCGAGCCCCCCAAGCAAAAAAATTTTTTTTGAAAATTTGCAAGAATTTCACCTCAGGT